CCGAGGGGTAAGCACGCTGAACTGAGCACGCTGAACTCACCCACCCATCCCCACATGCTTTTATCAATCGAGAGCTCTTGATAAGTAGAGTTATCTATGCCTTTCTCTCCCAATTTCATCGCTTACACAAAGTTAATTACAAAAAGGGATTTTTGGAGTCTTGATTTTTGGTCTGTTTGCAGCTTCATAACTCGACGATATCTTCTTTTCGGAATCTATGTTTGCATATCATAGAGGAATGATTTCTCATGTATGCTCATGCTCTCGCATGATCAGTTGCGAATTACTTAAGGTGTAATAATTAAAAACTGACCTTGCTTAAATATCATTAACACCAAACTAACAACTGCAACTTCACTGCCCTAGGAATTTCTTCTAATATCGATTACACAATTCTTATCACTGTGCTACACTCCATATGTTTATTATGCTTCAAGTGGACACAAAAAGCAACAAAATTTTCTTATTGTACACATATACCGACATACGAATTTACTTGCAACTAATAATCTATAATCATAACGTATAATAACGGGCTAAGGATTGTTTACGTTTTTTTTTGTGTGTGTGTATGTGTCTGTCTGTCTGTCCGTTACGAAATTCGTAGGGAGAGTTCCAGCCAACCTCTTGAGCCCAAATTTTGCTTAACACATCCCAGCAGCAGGAAAGTCCATTGTGCAAAAGCACAGGCGGATCCGATAAGTGGATCCCTAGAAATTGCGCGCAAAACGGGTCCACTCAACTTCTGACCAGCAAAATTGGGTCCGCATATAAACTTTTTGCAAAGTCGTGGATATGTTTGACAAGCTAATGTACAAGCCGTAAACTTTAGCCCAAAAAACTCAACTAAAGTTGGTTACTTTACGAAAATGGCGCCAAAAAGTATCAGTGCGTAAATGATCCACGATTTTACGTGATCATTTGAGAAGATTTTGGGTCCGCATATAAACTTTCTGCAAAGTCGTGGATATGTTTGACAAGCTAATGTACAAGCCGTAAACTTTAGCCCAAAAAACTCAACTAAAGTTGGTTACTTTACGAAAATGGCGCCAAAAAGTATCAGTGCGTAAATGATCCACGATTTTACGTGATCATTTGAGAAGATTTTTGCACAGAGATGCAGCCCACGATGATTATTGCCGTTGTGGCGACTACCAAGCCATGAGAAGTCCATAAACCTATTCAAATTTGCATAGATCCTTCTGAGAAAAGTTTTATCCACGTGAAATTACCGATCTCGCACAAAAAGCTCTAGGAATGAGTAGCTGTTTACAAATTATTCGTGATAGCCTGCATAACGCGGTGAGTTTCACTGTCATCATTATGCGGGAATTAGTAAGGCATACAGAATGTAAGGCCAGTGCGAGCCTCTGCGAATAATAATCGCAAAATGTCTTATTTTATCCATAGTGGTAAGTTCCAGGTAGAGCTGTTCATGAGCGCCCTTCAAGCCTCTGAGCATCCGCCAGTGTCTATTGCCCACGGTTGAATATTATTAACAACATTCCAAGTTCGTATCTCATAAAAACGTATTTTTTCGCTTTACATTTTCAATTTCGCATTACTCCCTCATCTCAAAAAAAATTTTTTTCTTACGTTCGAAATGAAGGGGAAGAGCGAGGAGGGTAATCCAGGCTCCAAAGTGAAAGGAGTGTGAGTTTTTGCTCACTCTATAGTCCCTATGGGACAGCAGTCACCATGCGCTAACTCTGTGCAAAATCTTCTCGAATGCTCAGGTAAAACATGGCAAATTGAACATTAACATAACCAATTCTTCTCAAAACCGTTTTCGTAAGGTGAAAGACTTTTGATCTTTGGATTGAAGTCCATGGCTCGCAATCACTTATCAAACATGTCCATGACTTTTCCAAGTGAATACGAACCCGGAACTAGGGCCAGAGGCCAAGCGGGTTCCTTCGAGGCAGCGTTCAAGGGACACTTAACGGATTTGCTCGCGCTTTTGCATGGTTGTGTTATGCCAAAAAATGCTTCTTGAAATCTTGTCTACCAATCATTCTACAATATTTTTGGCATTTTTGTAGACGATCAGCTAAATTTCAATCTCCACTTTGATTCAGTGATAAAGAGGCTCTGTCAGCGCTGTTCGTTCTACTAAGAAGCATTCAGAGCAATGACCCAGTGCGCCTTGTGCGGCTCTATAAGACTTACGTTTTGCCACATTTAGAATATGCATCACCGGTCTGGAGTCCATTTGTGAAGAAGAATATTGAAAAATTAGAGATCCAGAAAACATTTACCAGAATTCTCTACTACAGATGTTATCCCAGACCGGATTATCCTCAAACTCTGCCATCGTACAATATTAGACTGGCTACGCTTAAATTGCTTAGCTTGAAATATAGACGCATATGTAACGACTTAGCGGGGAACGATACTTGGTGACCGTGGTCATTCATAATGACTTGTATATCAAAAAATGCACCTTTTGATGCTGGTTCGAATACTGTCTTCCGTATCTGTGAAACGATAATCTGGTTGGAGTTATGATTCGTTTCAATCTTGCTATGCCGTACAGGTTTGTTAGGATGGTATATTTATTCAAACCGGCCTAACGTTTCGGCGCCTTCGCCGTCCTCAGAGGCCTAAAAAGAACCCAAAGCATCACCTCCAACATCAGACCATCAGATGTCTCCTCTAGCTTGACTAGTTTCGACTTTGTTTCAAATTCAGTCCGCAAAAACTCTTCAGACAGAAATAAACCCACCGTTATACCACCGCTATATGATGTGTCCGCACCGGAAGGAATTGACAGAGCGACCGGAAATGAGTGACAGAAGCGGACAAGTGAGGGATACTGTAGAGAGCAGACAGAGGATATGCTATCTACTATCTACAGCTCACATAGTGCTACGAACGGCAGAAAGTCGGCTGTAATAGACAAGCACTCGTTTTTATTATTCATTTCTGGATTCTTCGAGGATATCCAGAAAGATTCTAGTGCCTTTCTAGCCGAGATCTCTTTCTCATAGCTTAAGATTTTGCACTTGACTCTAAAATCTGCTCCATTATGTGCTTCGCCTTTATGTCTTCCCAAGGGTGTTGCTAAGCTCTTGCGTCTCATGCTTGCCAGATGTTCCTTTAGACGTACACTTAGTACCCTGCCAGTTTCGCCAATATACAACGCGCCGCAGTCCATGCATTCGAGTTGATATACAACACCCACTTTTGTACACTCCCCTTCTTTGCCATACGGACACACTATGCATTGTTCAGTTGCGCATTTCCTATCGTAGAGTCGATTTCGTACGAGCTGCTTTTTAATGTTATCGTTTGGTATGTTAACCAAAATGACTTCATTGAGCAACTGTGCGCGAGCAATGCATTGATGAAAGGCCGCTGTGATCTTATCAGAGATGAACGGGAGGCATAATGGAATTTTGTTGTCGTTTCGAGTGCGGCTAGTCTGCGCAAGACGTCTAGTTCGTGGTAATGCGCAATAACCATTACTGCGTGCGATCTCTGAGGCTAAGTGTCGTGCTTGTCGGCGTTCATCCTCTCCCGAGCACACCATGGCGGCTGTTTTGAACATATGTTTGATTACAGCATGTTTAACGCTACTAGGGTGCGCAGACTTAGCATTGATGAGGATGTTTTTGCAGAGTTATGATTATTTTTCCATGAATAAACTGCGTTACTGCGGAGGGTCATAATCATCAATAAAAATTTTTCTTTCCTTTTCAAATGCTGAGTATGATTTAGATAGGTATAATACAACAGTATTTCTTTTAAGATTCTCTTCAATAGCTTCAAATGGTAACTTGGAGCAAATTTGGTGATTTTAACTACACAAAAGCACGCAAATTTTCTACGAAAAAAAGTTCATAATCTCCTTCAGAAGATCGTTTCGCAGATATCGAGCACAGATTTGGAATCAGCGTTTCGGGATGCATCTTACACTATACATCGCATTTCAAATGGCCACGGTGACCGAGTATCCTTTCCTTGTTAGTCCTATGTTTTCGCATTCTTAGACTTGAAACAAGACTGAGTCCTAGCCATTACTGGATTTTCAGACCTTGTGGGAAACTGGCGGTTTCGGTTTGTCTTAGAAAGTTAGGACGTAAAAAGTTGTCAATAGCTTTCAATTCTTTTGTGTGCCGTTCCGCCAGATGGCTCAATCTTCTACCATGCGAAATTATATCGTCTAAGAACTCTGCAGAGTTTCGAAAAAAAATTAGCTTCCATAGATGTCCTGCAGACTTTGAGAATCGCTGATGTTTAGCTTGCTGTATTTATACTGCATATCTTTTTTTGGGATTTTTTTGAACACCAAGCTAAAAAAACAAAACAAAGAAATTCTTTTTTTTGACTCTTTATCAAGCATGACTGCAGGTTGACAAAATTATTTCTATCATTCTTCTAAGTCCAGACAGGTTTGCAGTCTCTTCGCTCAGCCGTTTAGGGAAACTAAAGCTGGCGTGCCCCTCTTCCTTGAAATCCCCCTTCTCGCTCGCCCACGGTCCCTGGCGAATTCGTCCGCAAAGAGTTAAGCGGTCAGCCAGCCCTGGTAGTGCGGTCATCCAACGCGTCCGGGTAAGGGAACATGATTTCGGCAGAGGAATACTTAATACGCCACAGAAGAAGGAGAACGACCTGCACTTCGGGCGGAGCATTTTACCTGCCTCGCCTGTCTAGCATGAACACTTGTGTAACATTTCGTGTGATAATATTCCCTGCTACTGATTACTTGTGTTCTTTTTTGGCACACCTTTGGTGTATTTTAGATAAATAAATAAATAAATAAATAAATATTACTGGCAAACAGACAGACCCACAGACAAAAACACGTAAACACCCTCAGCCCCTTATTATGAGTCACGATAGGTAATAGTCCACTCCCGTGCCTGAAACATTCAATAAGTGCTAATTTTTGAATTCGCATGACCGACTGACCGAGGCAACCATGACTTTCAAAGTATCAAACTGTTGATTCTGATGAAACGACTGCTAACCATGATTTTTTGATAACCTACGCATACCTTCGCGACGGCGACTCATCCGTTCTGAGGACTTTAGATGGAGGTGCGTCATCTTCAGGACATATTGTCACATGAGTTTTCATAACCTGCAAATGCCGATGTAAGTTGAAACTGTAAACTCCCGCCACAGCGATATAAGTCCGCCCTTCCAGGAGCAACATCGAGATGTGAAGTGAGCCTGCTTTACATTGAAAGCCTAATAGTGGTGTGCGCCACACTGGCGAACGCGTACCGCTATTATTGCTAAGCAAAACTT